GCTGTTATGGTCATTTGGCCAAGAGCTCTCGGGAGCAGACACTGTGGCTGACTTCAGTCTCCATCCCTGATGCTCAGCACAGTGCCTGATAGAATGAAGGTGCTTGCAGAAAGTTGGATGGATGAATGCATAAATGGATTTTGAAATGAGAGTGATTGATGCACCTCGCAGAGCCATAGGTCTTTCGTATTTTCCTGCGAGGGAGGTCCGTTGGGGTTAGGTGGATTTTATAAGACCATCCGGCCATGATTGCAACGTTATCGCTGGTAAATTAAGCCTGCACAGGTGCAGTGTGTCACCTCTGCTTACCGCCCATTACAGTTTGCTTTGTGCTCAAAAGAAATTGAGCAAGCCGGTCAGAGGCTGCTATGTGCACCTCAGCCTAAAGAGCCTCGATTAACCTTGCGTATAAATGACACTTCCTGCCCATTCTTTATCTTTAGCTCAGCAATATCTACTTGGCTCCTCCAGGGAAGACTGCATTAGATTTCAGTCATGAAACTACAACGCAGTGGCATCTCCAGCCTGGCTGAGATGACTCTTATTAACCCCCTTACACTCCGTTTCTTGGGACGCTCCCTGGCTCCGAGACTTAGGTTTTCCGCAAGAAAGAGAGTGATAGCGGCCTGGGCCATTCAGCGCCCTCAGGACCTGGCCCCAGCTCACATGTGCGTTTGTAGAGAAATCTGCCACTCAGATATGACCTGCCTGGACTTACACAAACTGTCGATTTCCCACATTCATCCCCTTTGAGGGAAACTCATTTGTTGTTACTGCAAAAGTTTAGTTTTGTTGCTTTCTCTCCCTCCCTTCCTCTCACTCTCTCTCTCTCTCTCCCGCTTCTCGGTTATGCAGTATCATGACCCAGATCTTTAGTGCTTGAACTATATAGCTGAGAGCCCTGAAACCCATAGGGCCAGGGGCAAGCTGCGGAGACAGTCAGCCAGCCAGTGGGCATCCGTCCACAGAGAATTCTTAACCACCTGGGGCTGCTTCACTGGGAGTCATGAGCCACTTAGAGTCAGCCTTCCCTCACCCCCCCGCCCCTGCGCCTTTCTTCAGTCCGCCATTCTGAACACGGTTTTGTTTATTTTAGAATCCCCTGAAGTGCCTAGCTCTGAGCCCAGCCACACAAGGTCCATCCATGTTGGTTGAGTTGAATGGAAATCCCCGTTGGAGTGTGCCCATTTAACCCTTCAGGGACACGGAAGAAGCAGGCTCCTTTCCCGTGCCCCAGTCTGTGAAATGCTGCCTTCTCAGCACAGCGTCAAAGGAGGGTTTTTTAAAAAGCCATTTATTGGTTTTATTCTGGTTAGACAAGGAATACATGATTTCTTTAAAAATTGGGAAAATATTGAAAATTATGAAGAACAAAATTAAAATTCCCCAATATCCCATTACCCAAAGGCAACTACCACTGATGTTTTCCTGTGTTCTCACCTTAGTCCTCATGAGGGAGGGCCCTGTATCACCCCAGATTTTTTTGAGGATTGGGGGAAGTGGGGCGGGGGTAGATTTTTTCTTTCTAATCTTAAAGCTTCAGGCATTATTGGGATACACACACACATATTACAAATTTATATATATTATTGGGACATGTTTTATTAGGATATATATATTCACATGTGTATATCATATAATATATACATATATAATACACACCCATATAATATATAAATGTTTGAGCTGTATCAGCTATTGCCACAGTAGTACTATATGACTACTCTCAAACTCAGTGGTTTAAAACGAATATCACTTATTATTGCTCATACTTCAGTGACTACATTGGGTATTTGCTGATCTAGGCTGGGCTCTGCTAAGCAACTCTAATTTCAGGTATAGGACCAACTGGGCATGGCATCTGACTCTGGGTTGGGCTCCAGTCTACTCCCTATGTGTTTTTCCCGGGGCCAGGGCTGAAGGGACAGCCATTGATCAGAGAAGCTCTTTTCTTGGTGCTAGCAAGGCACAAAAGGACAGACCCCAATGCGCAAGCACCTTCCAAGCCTCTCCTGTGTTGTGTCTGCTAACATCCCATTGGCTAAAGCAGATGACATGGCTGAGCCCATAATCCGGGGGCAGGAAAGTACAACCCACCCACCATGAGACCGAAGCAAGTCATGTGATCAAGACCAACATCAGTGGGTCAGGGATGTATCCGCTTCACTTCCCATGGAGGTGAAGAGGGGAGGGAAGGAATATGTTTGAGAATAATAGACTCTACCCATGTCCTACATATCTGCTGAGGAACTCTGTCCTCTGTGATTCAGTCTGCTCAGAACCCACCTGGCAAGTGCTATCACCCAGTCTTCCCAGGAAGCCTCCTGCAATGCTCCTCTACCCATTGAACAAGTTCAGTTTCTGGATCATTTGACTGCCCCATGTGTGTTGTTCCTATTGCACATTCATATCCCATTCCTTGATTCCCCCCAGAATAATTTACACAGAGATGGGTAGAAGATTTTGCTGCACATCTGGAACAGCAAAGGAGTTTTGTATCTTTTTGTTTATATATCTATGTCACTCGGCCCTGTCTCCGGTAGATTCTGTTTGCATCTCAGCCTGCACACAGCCTCTCAAATCCAGGCTTGCTGAAGAATTCACCCTGGCCTCAGAAATCCTAAAGGTCTCATTTGTCTGAGCCATGTCTTTTTGCAACTTGGTTTAGTTTCTTTGATTCTTTCAATATACGTATGTTGAGCACTTGTGCCCTCCAGCCCCATGATGAATTTATAATCTAGAAGGGGAAATGAATGATTTCTATGTGCTATCATATGGGGTTTAGGGTTGCTAAACTTCAGCACTGTTGATATTTGGGGCCAGATAATTCTTCGTGGTGGGGGCTGTCCTGGGCATTGTGGGAGGTTCAGCAGCATCCTTGACCCCATTACCCGCTAGATGCCAGGAGCACCATCCCCACTCTCCTTGAGTTATGGACAACCAAAATGACTGCAGACATTGCCAAATATGCCCTGGGGGACAAATCACCTCCGTTGAGAACCACTGCTTGAACATATAGTAGACTTGATAAGACCTCTGATAAACCAAAATAATGTGCTAATAAATGAGGGCAGTGTTATTTCCTGGTGGTGCATCTGTGAAAGCCTCATGGGGTAGCTGGTGTGTGAGCTAAGACTTCAAGAATGGTTAGGGTTTTGAGATGGATTTCTCGGAGGAGGGGAAAACATGGGGCACAAATGGGCAAATAAGGAATAGTTCTTGTTGTCCAGAGTGGAGGCCATGTAGGTACTGGGAGGCTAGCTACTCTAGGGCTATCTAAGTCATTATAAGGACTTCCACTTTTACTGGGAGTGAAATGATAAATCTATCTGTGTTCATTTGGAGGGAATATGATTGTACATAGAGTTTGTCTTCATAATCCAAAGTAATTGCTGCAAAGTCTCATCCATCCAGAGGTCATTTTTCGGATGCCCAGGAAGAAAACCTCTGAGGGGCACAGTGCATCCCTAAATAGACCCATGCCTGTAGCTTGGTGTCCCTTACCCCTCTGAAGATCTTAGTCTGGACTCTTTATCTTAGGTCTTAGTTGAACAGACTTGGTTAGCCAGTTCCCACCAGCAGATTAGAAGATGGAAGGGGGTCGTGGTGGGACAGATATAGAGGGGCCCAGATTTTGCAGCAAAGCTCCCAGCACGATAGAGGGGAAAGAAACCAAAAGCAAAATTGAATGAGCAGGGGCGCCTGGGTGGCTCACTCGTTAAGCGTCTGCCTTCGGCTCAGGTCATGATCCCAGGGTTCTGGGATCAAGCCCCACATTGGGCTCCCTGCTCAGTGGGAAGCCTGCTTCTCCCTCTCCCACTCCCCCTGCTTGTGTTCCCTCTCTCACTGTGTCTCTCTGTCAAATAAATAAATAAAATCTTTTTAAAAAATTGAACGAGCAAACAAATATGTTCAGGCCAAATAATTCTTTAGCCAGGGGAACATCCACCCCTTCATAATCCTAAGGACATTTCTGCATGACAGTGTCACCCTAGTATGCCAACTTATGCAATGTTTAGCAAGGCAGGAACTACACAAGATACTGTAGAACCCATGTGGTAAGAGTTTAGCACCATGGTCAAGAGTAAGGTCTAGAGTTTGACTTCTGGCTTGAGGTCTTGCTTCAAGGCTCTGCAGCCATCAGCTAGCCCCTTAACCTTGCCAAGCCTTACTGGTCTCATCCGTAACATGGGGACTCCCTACTCAAAAGGTCATTGGGAAAGTTAAATAAAATCCACTGTGTGAATTCTGAGCTCCATTCTTGGCACAGATTTGGTGCTCAATAAACGTTAACAGTTAATACTATCATTTCATTGAAAGAATAAGCTCCTGAGACCTCTCCCAGATTGAAACTGTTTTGGAATATTCCCAGAGTCTCCCGGCAGTACCCAAATTTCCCTTTCAGAAAATACCTAGGATGGCCGTGACAACTGAGAAAGTTCCAGAAGAAAGTTCCAGTTGTATCAGTTCCCCCATCCCTTTTCCCTTCTTTTGGGTGGAAGAGGATGGGCCCCTGAGGGCGATGACAGCAGGCTCGCGAGGGTATTGGCCACCAGCCTGTGGCAACATTATTTCCTTTGAGCGAGATTAGCTTTTCACCCTTTAGAAGAACTGATAGAAGAACAGTTATTCTGAGATAACTAGGAGACCAGGAAGCTCTTTTCCTCTGGCCATTATGCCCTATGCCCTATGCAAAAATATCTACCCCCAAATTAAGAATGGGCACATTGACAGAGTTCAGGGGGAGACACCAAAGCATATTGCAAAGCAGTGGCACTGAGCTAGTGGCAGTCCCTCTGGGTTGTTTTTCTTCGATTACTGTCTGCGGAGTGGCAGAGCTGAACACGCAGGATGCTCTGTGAGGTGCCCTGGCCTGGCATCGCGGCATTATAATGGGGCACGGATACTGCCAGGAAGTCACCCCACAGGAAGGAGCTGCTCTCTGGCCCGGGGATGGCAGGACAATAAAGGACCCTGTTCTCTGTTTGTGTGTTTTCCAGGCTGGAGCAGGAAATCCAAGCGCTAGAAAGCGAAGAGTCCCAGATATCTGCCAAAGAGCAAATCATCCTAGAGAAACTAAAGGAGACAGAAAAATCCTTTAAGGACTTTCAGAAGGTAAAGAAAACAAATGTGATTTCTCCAGATTATATCCGAGGGGAAGTAAGCACTAGCGAATGGGCGCCAATGGAATCGAGGCCTGTTAATACTGCTGAGAAGTCTGAGCCCCACACTCTGAGAATTGCGGTGCAGGTGTGTGAGGACCCTTGCGGTCTCTGACCCTGACCGTGGCCTGTAGTCAGGTGTGGGACCACCTGGTCTGCGGGGAAGCACAGAGGAGAGCCTTTCAATCAACCCCATCTACCTATTGTCCAAACCCTTTATATGCCCGGTTGCTGAAAAGTCATCTCCCCTTGGACTTCAGGATTCTAAAGCCAATTCTTATGAAGCAGATTAGACCTGCTCCTTGTGGCTTTAATTTAAGTCTTTGCTTTATAAAAAGGCCAGAGGCAAAACCATATCAAATGGATATGAATTTCAAATCCACAGAGTGTAAACACTGTGGAAACAGATGGTGCCGTGTAGTGCAGAGGAGAGAATGCGTAAAGCCAGTAGTCTCTGAATATCTCAGGACCTTCCTTCCATTTTATCGCCCAGGTACCCAGACCGAAGAAACAATCCAACCAAATTAATTTTAAGATGGGATTTTCAGATGTCACTTCTCCAACACAGCCGAGGGTATTTGCTGGATAACCGACGTAAATCCCTCCTGGGAGAAATTCAGTATGAGGTGGGAATGATAAAACATTCCCTTAAATTTCAGAATCCCAAACAAATTTCCCAGAACAAAAGAGAGCATTGGGTTTACCCACCACGGTCAAATTCTGGACCTGGGGGAGAGAGACGGGTTAGATGGATGAGGGATTGTCCCCCCACGTGTGTAGTGACACTCTGCCCTGCTTTTGTTTCCACAGAGCTTCTCCAGTGTGGATGGAGGTAAGTGGAAGAGCTCTCTGCCCCCATTCTATAGAAGAATCTTATCCCGGTCAGTTTAGTGGGCTTCACAAATACAGGTTCACCGGGAGATGCAATGTGTTGGTGTGTGAGGTCATCAGAAAGGAGGAGTAGCTCTCTGTGCAGGGCCCTGAGGAAGTACATGTCCCCAGGCTTGTCTGCCTCTCTTCTTCAAGGATGGTTTCTCGACTCACCGTTTTTAGTCTTACACAGTTGGCCTGGCTCCTCCCCTTCCTATTTGGTCCTCAAGGTTCACTGCTTGGACCTTTCTTGAAAGGTGCTCTGCCTAGAGTGCTGACATTGGGACCAGGTCCCTGGAGAGAATGAGCGCATTTGTGCCTAGGACTCCAGGTCGTGACACACATCAGAAGGCCATCTCATGTTTAGGAAACCTTTCTAAGGCTGTGTTTTTACTCTGAATCAGAAAACTGCTATTTCTCCAGCCTTCCAGGGTAACAAGGCTGGGCAGAACCTCCCTCCCTGTGTGGCGGAGTTGGCCTTGAACCCATGAAGGGTGGAAGCAGGGCCCTGGCTTCCTGACCCCATCCTGGCAGGAGCGGGTCTTGCTTCTGTTCTCTCTTCCCTTCCGTGGAAAGAGAGAATTTCATGGGAATGAACTTGAGGTTTTGTGCTTCTTGTCCTTCACCTTGCTCCCCTCACTTAAGCTACAAACTCATGAAAACCACTCCATTCCCACTTTCACTATGGTCCTCAACTAGACCTGCTTTAAAAGGCCAGGACTTGTCAAAAGGATCAGATGCCATCTGCTCTCCTGGTTCTTAGAAGGTCATCCTCTAAACTATGAAGATGATCAGGAGCCAGAATAAAGGTTGGCATCAGTGTTTCCCCAATGTCATTTGCAAATATAGGGGCAAAGATTTAAAAATGCAGAGATGGGTGATGGGTGATGTATTCTTCTGGATTAGCAAAGATATTTGCACTAAGGATAATTCTGACTTTAGCCAGAAAAAAGTGTGGTTTTGTTTTATTTTATTTTATTTTATTTTATTTTATTTGGTGGGGGAAGATGGTTTCCAGCACACAAGGCAGGGAATCCGGATTTTTGGCCCCCGGGTGATCTTTGGGAAGGTAGTAAAGTAAACTTCATGTTCCCAGCACATGTGGGCAGGGACAAATCAGGGCCAAACTAGCAGGGACTCCAGGCGGAGGACCTATGACATTCTAAAGCCTTCTGTAGGGTGTGGCCAAATCAGGGCTCTTGTTCTGTGTTTTGGGGATAGAGCATGGACGGAGGAGGTGGCCTTGCCTCTTTGGGGGAATAAAGGGTGGCAGTATGGGAAGCATAGCGGGCTTCCCTAGTGCTAGGAAAGACCCAAAGCAGGGGACATAATCAGCAATCATGCAGTAAGTGTGAGGCTGGAATGGGGCTGTGGGACATTGACCCACAGACACCTACATCCTGGAAGGGTACATACTGACTTTTTGTGCTTTTACTTCTTTCTTTCCTCTCCTCTTTCTCAAACCAGAATCTCTCCTAGACTTTTCTTTATAATTAGGGAAGGGAAGGAGCCTGAATGTCACGTCTCTGGGAAGGCTCTTTCGGGCACAGAGACCCACATAGCCTATGACTTGTTAACAAGCAACACGGAAGCCAGATTATAAACCCTTGCCACTGCATCTTTCATTTTCAACCTGAACTTTTTTCATTTCCTCCTGCATCACTTCCCACAATTGGCATCCCTTCACCTAAGCAGTTCATGGAAGTGGGAAGAAACTTGATCGTGACTAAAAAGAGCCTGCGGAGAAAATTGCTCTGACTCTGTCCTCAGTCACTTTTTGACAGAGATGACCTCAGGCTCAAGGATGCAGACATTTTAGGGATCCCAAGAAATGGCCAGGGTAAGGTTTTTGTGGTCTTATCTGTGGTTATGATTCCTGCCATCTCTGGTTATACCTAAGTCTGGGTGGAGCTTTCCATTGCACCACATCTACTGGCAAAGAAAGAAGTTTGTAGGAGGCAATACATCCTCTAAGAATGCTGTCAATGTCTAGCTCACTCTGTGGTCTGAGAGTACAAACTGAAGCAAATCCAGTTGAGGGACTCTGGAATATCTGATTAATTTCTCATTCTTTGGTTTCAAAGGCCCCTCGATATCAAAGTTGCCAAGACCCTCTCAGAATCAACCACCTGTTGTTACTAAGAACTAACCCGGAAGTATTATAGAATAATAGTGCCTTGAGAAAAATACCCCACTTCTGAAAAGCTGATTACAGAATCCAAGGCCAACTAGGATTATATAACTGTACAAGATGCTGCAGATAATCAGCAAAAACATCCCTAGTTTAATGAGGTGCCAAGGAGATGGCTGCTGGTGACCCCACTTCAGGTCCCTGTGCATGTCACCCCATGCATGTCAGAGGGCATAAAGGTACAGCACTGCTAGATCACCAATGGCTTCAGATTGCATGGTAGTCCTGGCCATCAAGAACAATGTATTCCAATCTTGAGTAGAATTCCCTGGCCATGTACATTCCGACCCCCCTCTCTTCCTCCCCACCCCATAGACACACTTGTTATATGGCAGAGTCTTCATCAGTGGGGTGGGTTGTTTTTACTGCCTTAAATAGGCAGAATGTCTTGTGTAACTGTAATTTCCATGTAGTATATATCTTGCGCTAAGTATTCTTTACCCACCGAGGACCTGGGGTGAAACCATTGGCCAGAACAGGCAAAGGAAAATGTTGTCCCGGGCCTGTCTCCGCCCTTGCTGTCCGATACTGATCTTAGGTTTCCATCCCGTCTCCGTCTCGTGGCGGTGGCCGGAAGCCATCCCCATATCAACTCCTTCATAGCCATTGCTGGGAAATCTCAGTGTGTTTTCAGGTGCGTTCTGGAGAGTGTTCATCCGCTTTGTTTCTCTAGCTCAGGCTATGCACGTCCATCACAGTCACAGTAAATATTTCAGCAGTGCTGGGACTAACAAGGGGCACTCATCTTACAGGCCCACCCTGGCAGTGACCGTTCCCTGCCTTCTCTGACCACAGACCCCCCCTGACTTTGACAGGAAGAGGGCAGGTTACTGACTGAGGCCGTGTGAAGAAATTCTTCCCATGGAGGCTTTTGAGGCCCCGTTAATTATTCCTGGTGTTGGTCTGTCAGCCACCTCCCGGCTGCATAGCTTTGTGTGGAATACTTCCTGCTATATGGAGGGGGCTGGCTGCCCGGTTCTCCTTCTGAGCCCCACTCCTCGCCACTCCCTCATCTCAGCCGGAGTATGTGATCCCAGCCTTCCAAAGAGCTGCAGTCCTCAAGCTTGTAGCCAGGGAACACCAGGGAGGGGGATGCCATCCCCACCCACACTGGGCAGGGAGCCACCTTCTGGGGAAGGCTGAGGCAGAAGCACTGGGATCCTGTGCTCTCTCTGAGGCAGATGCCTCTGCTAGCAAGTGCCTTTTGTTTCTGGCTGCTAAAACTTTCAGTCCCAGAAATTCTCTATTTAGCATAGAACGTATAGACATACAGGGGACCAGTCTGGGAGTCCTCACCTGGTCTTAATGGTTTGAACCTTCATCTCATTTGAAAGCAGAAAATCAGATTTACCAAGATCTCATTCCACAGATTTCTAGAAATCCTCAGGGTAAACTCAGAAGCTCTGCAAATCTGCCCTGGTCATCTCTTGTCCCCCCTACACTGTCTGTCTCACCCCACACTGCCGCTCAGATCTTCCCCTGGGCCACTGTCAGCAGTCTATTCTTACACCCTCAGGAGCAGCTCATCTCAAGCCTCTGCTCTCTTCTGGTCCTGTGTTGCATGGCTTTGGGGCCCGGACTCTGTTCACAGCTCCCCACGATGAGAGTAACCTAAAGTTCAGGAATAAGAGAGAATAATGTACAACATTGAACATGTGGCCACACTCGGAACCCTTGACTCAACCCAAGCCCATCTCTAGGGGGCCCGATAGGCTGCTTCATGGCTATCTCCCACTCCACGCCCCCCATCACCTCAAAGGCCCAATTTCCTTCCTTGCAGCAGAGGACCCTCAACCATGTCTGCCTGACCCGGGACCCACCCTCCAACACACACAAGACCCCAGAGAGAGATGGTCACTTGAACCTCACCATGGCCAAAGGCCTGACTGCCTACTCCTGATTTCCTGTTCCTTCTCCCCCAGTGGTTGATATGGAAAAATCCATTCCCTTAGTGAAACCCCACCCACCCAGCCCCAGCCCCAGAGTGTGTTCCTAAAAACATAACGGTCCAATATCAGCACATTCTGGATTGTTGACATTCGCATGCAAGTCAGCAAATTGTCTAGTTGGTGCAGAACTGAACTAATCCTAATCCTCATCCTTATCTAGTGTCTGGGTCCTCTCCAGCATGAAATTTAAAAAAGAAAAAAGAAACCTAACAGAACTAAGGCGATATCAATGGGGACACAGAGTGGGACGGATGTAAGAGATGTGAAGGAGGTGGAGGCTAGGGGCTGACCTGGTATCGAGAGGGGGTGTTCAGGGTGCTACCCGGGATCCTGGGTGAATTGTGGCACCAATGAGCTGAGGTAGGGAGAGGCAGCAGATGAGCACAGATGAGAGTTCCCTTTGGGACATGTTGAGTCTGAGGTGATTGGGAGAGATTCAGTGGAGATGTGCAGGAAGCAGCTCGATGTATCATCGAGGAGTGATTGGCATTCCAGGATTGCCACCGGAACATAGTCGTGACACAAGGAAGGAATCACATTACATAGCTTTCTAGAATGTTCTTGCCTTTGCTTTCCCATTTTTCTCTGGGGGATACACAGATTCTTCTCCTTGTCTCACCCCAGTGGTTTCCTCCTCTCCTTTGACACTTTGACACGCCTGCTGAGGTTCATGCCCAGAGGGTCTCACCTCCCTGAATGGGCTTGTCAGACTATTTTCCCAAGTGGAGCTGGTCTCCCTGCTTTGCTCAGCTGCATTTCCTGCAACTGGGCTAATGGTGAATTCATTGGCTGTTGTTATTTGGAATCTCAGGATTTTCTGGCTGAAACACCAACTTGAAGTATTAAAATTGTGGGATAAATTCTAGGGTTTTGGGAGCTTTTTTTTTTTTAATGTTTATAAAATAGGTCTTCTGAATGAATCAGGCACCCGAAGCTACATTTCCAGTTCAAGTTTTGAGCCCCAAATCTATTTTTCACTACTGTTGAAGGCATATTTCTAGTTTGATGTCCCATGTTTGGTCAATCCTACCAAGTTGATAATGGCTCTCATTAGCCCATCCCCCATTCCCCCCTGGACTCATTGTACTCTTAGAATCTAGAGCTTTCTGATGAATCTTTTAATACAGAGAACAGTCCTGGGGCTTGAGCTCTCTGGCCAGGATCCCTCCTACCTCAGCTACTCTGCTGAATACCAGTCACTGGGCAAATGCTTGTCTTTGTTTACACTGATCCTCTCGTTCAGTGGCCGCCTCTGAGGTCCATTATGTAGGGCAGACAAGCTGCTGTTTCGGCAGTGAACCCATTGGGCCTCCCGACACTGTGCCTAATTGTATTCCCTGTTCTCTGCTACCAGATGCAGTAAATTACATTTCCTCTCAGCTCCCCGACCTGCCAATCCTCTGTTCACGAACAGCAGAACCATCACCTGGGCAGGACGGGACTAGCAGAGCCGCTGGTAAGTCCTGGGGAGCTATTTGGTCTTGATGCCAGGACTGGCCATGGGGCCTGCATTTCCCTGAGCTTTAATAATAAGGGATGCCCAGATAGCCTTCCACTGGGGACCCTGTCCTCAGCCCAGCCTCAGACATAGAATTTGCAGTGGCCACGGAGTGCAGGTACTAGGCCCTGATGAGTAATTAAGGACTTAATAGGAGGGAATAGTGAGAAAATCATAGAGCATTTCCCCCTGCCTTTAGTGGGGTCTGTCTCTTGTGTTTATGGTCTTTATATCTCTCCTTATTCTCAAAGTTAATCTGTACTCTGCCTCCAGGGGTTTTTATTTTCCATATTGGAAATGTACCAGATCAAATAAGCTATGATGGAAGCTGGGGGAGAATTATTTTCAAAAGTGTATGAGTATGTTGCCAACTCCTTTGGGAATCAAGCTGCTTGTATATTATAAATATATATTTCCAAGTCTTCCCATTTCTGGAATTATTTCTGAGCTACTGTGGTATATTTGGTGGGGGGGGAACTAGCAATTTAAAGAACATATGTTTCTTGCTAATGTTTTTCACAATGGTGGATTTTAAAAAACAATACATTTACGAGTATAAAGTCTATAGAGAACTATGCTTTGCTCTGTTCAATATGAATGTGCCTCAGAAATCAGAACTGGATGGACATGAAAAATCAATCTCTAAACCAATCCTTTTACTCTACACAGAAATCCACTGAGGGCCAGGGGTCAAATGAAAAAATGAATTGCCAAGGTTGCACAGTTAGTGACAATGTAGGTGAACTCAAACAGGCACATCCAATTCTGTTTTACATAATCTAGATAAGTTTATGTCTAAAATAAATCACATAATGACACTTTGCATAAAACAAAATACTCATGGGCTTTTAAGCCAGAAGAAATCATTTATATAGGCCAAACTGAATATCTTGTAAAGCAAATAGTCCTTCCTTCTTTTCATGTAAACGTACCATAAAATGGCAAGTAAGTGTTGACGTGGTCGGCGTGCGCACTGATAAAATATCTGCTGGGTATCTCCGTAAACATCTTAGCGTGTTACTTTTGCATACTGATTCACGGAGTTCTAGAATTGGGTGGGACCTAGGTGGTGTCTGGTCAGACCCTGGCCAGGTTCACGTGTCCCTGGACCAAGAAAGCAGTTCTTGGAGCCTGCAGCTGTGTAGCTGAAGAATCACTGGCAGAGGCTTAAGCTGCAAGCTCTCCTGTGCTACAGGGAGCACTTCTGAGGTCAACTAGGGTGATAGCCGTTCAACAGTCACACACCCTCCGCTGGTTATTAGACATTTGGGTGCTGATATTTCCTGATAAGCATGGGTAACCAGCTTCCCAGCCCCTCTCCATGACAGGTTCCTGGAACTTACAGAACATGTGATATGATCCAACTAATGGATCAGCTCCGGGAGAGGACAGGGACAGTGTGACAACTCATTTTTAAGGGGTATCAAAAGGGTTTGAGCAGCATTGATAGTCAAGGAGCGTAATGGGCAAGAATAAAGTGTTAACGTGATTGCAGTGCTGGGCGTGTGGGAATGCAGGCACGATCACAACCTAGCATCCTTCATAGTTGAAGGTGGCAAATGCATTTTCGAAAAAGTATTATGTGATCGGAATCTTCAAAAATAAGTTGATGTGTACTTTTGTTTATTATTGAAGAACTAATTTGCATAGATGTATCTAACTGTGGAAATACATACACGCAGAGTTTTGGAAGGAATCGCATTTGATGTGGTTAACTCCCTTGTCTAGACTGTTTTTGGAATGGGGTGTCCAGATTCATTACCAGTTATGGCCAACAGTGATTACACAGAGCATGGATAGCATACCAAATAATGGTACTCTCCACTAGAATCCTTTCTCCTAGACATGATCCATCTTGCTTTATGAACATCCTTTTGGAAATTTGCACAATCTCAGGGCCATTTTATTTTTTCAATTTTATTTTTTTTAAAGATTTTATTTATTTATTTGAAAGAGAGAGTGAGAGAAAGAGAGCAGGAGGAGGAGCAGAGGGAGAGGGACAAGCAGACTCCATGCTGAGCATGGAGCCTGATGGAGGGTTTGATTCCAGGACGCTGCAATCATGACCCAAGCTGAAATCAAGAGTCAGACGTTCAACCAACTCAGCCACCCAGCCACTCCTTGGGACCATTTTAATAAATGTCACTTGTTATTTTTCAGTATTATGACAAATATTCTGGTTGTTTGGAGTTTGGTAGGTTTAGGATTCTATATAAATGGGAATTTATTTAGCACCCTTGCTTTTAGAATTAGGAGGCATCTATTCCAATCAAACATGAAGCCAGGCTTTAGCAGCCTTGCAAACAGGTCCCCAGGCCGCAGTCACACACCTCTGTGATTGGAGCTTCATGACCCTCCAGGAGGCCCACTCTGTCTAATTGGTACTGACCACTGGGAAGTCCTTCCTCTGATGCCTGCCTCCATCTTCCACCCATCAGTCCTTATCCTGCCCCCTGGAGCCACTTGGAACAAGCCAAAGTTGATTTCCCTTTAACTACTTGAAAATGACTATCATTCCTGGTCTTTCCCAGATCCCCACTCTGCATCCCCTTAATATCCACAGCCCCAGTCTCTTCAGCTGTCCCAAAATAATGAGATTGCTTTGAGACACCCTCCACCATCCTTGCCCCTCCCAACTGAACACTCCCCACTTTGTCTCTTATCTCCCTGCAGTGCAGTGCTGAGAGCTATTCCATGTACTCTGGGGTGCGCTGATCTCCCCCCAGAGCAGATCGAGAATTCGAAGACCATGTGACTCACTCTTCTGGTGCCATGGCCCTTCAGCTTCAGGTTCTAAAGTAAAGCCTCAGAGTCATTTGACATATGCCACTGCTCAACCTCATTCCCTTGATCCAGTGTAGTCATTGTTCCAGAATCATTTCCACTGAAACATGCAGTCTGTTTTCCCTAGTTGTGCACATACTGCTTCCCCTGCTCAGAGAACCTACAAACTTCTTTATTTCTTAATCTCAAAAGGCAAAAGTAAGAATGAGCTATGTACCTTTCTGCCCTTTGTAGATTTGATGTGACTGTTGAATTTCTTCTTGATAGATTGTCCCTTGTAAGTGTCAGGGCCCCATGGGGTCACTGAGGAGCATCTGTGAAAGGTGGGGAGGGCAATGGTGTAAAGGGATTTGGTAGTCAGGCCTCAGGTTTTCTCTCCCATTTCAGACAGAGCAGCTCCCCTGTCCTCGGGTTTATATATTGTATTTCTGCATCAGATTTCCATCTGAATAAAGGGTTTCACAGTTTTGAAAATAGGAAACGCTCTTCTCTATTGTTGGGATTTTTATAGCTATTGATGGTAGCACCTCACAGCCTCGCTTTTCTTCTCAATTTAGTATCATCTCAGATCTGAAAAGCAAGGTTCTATTATTTTTCATCATTTCATTGATGAAAACATTGCACCATTGGAACCAAAGTCAGAGGGCTGTGACACACTTTTGGGGTCTTCTGGCCCTTGAGAACCCTAAATAGGCACCTATGGGACATGATCATTTAATGAGCAACAAGTTCTGGCAATTGTCTTGACACCCAAGGCACATGTTTCTGTCTTGTCCACAGGAATATAAGGGACTTGGTGATGATCCAGATGTGCTTTATCTCTGGCTTTGCCTAAATTGCCTCAAGAACTTGAACAAAATGAAAATGAAATTCACCTGTATACCTTCTGCCTGATGAATCCTTCCTGGTTCTTGGTGGTCTCTGCTCTTTGAAAATGAACTTTAGAATTTAGCCAGCCAAGATGTCAAGCTACTTCTACATAGTTTATGTAATTCCTTCCTTCTTATTTTTTTTTAAATCAGAACTTCAGGTGTCTGCTTCTAGCACCTTTCCCAGTGTACAAGATTCTTGAGACAAATATATCAATAAGGGAACTGATTCCTGGGTCCAAAGCACTGAGAGCATTTATATCCCTGGGTGATTCATTATTTTCTGATCTTCTCCACTCATCCGGGCTTCACTTCCATCTTAGCAGTATTCTTTCTGGAACTTTTCAGACTGAAAACTGTCCTCTTGACCAAGAAGGTGGAAGCAAAATCAGATATGTGAAGCTGGCTTTTGCTCTTGTTAGCCATCACATCACACCTTTGCAGACTTATTTCTGTTAGTACTAAGGTGTCCTGGGAAAACAATTATTCCAAGAAATTTGTGATGACTGGTTTTTGAAGTTAGAGATTGCTTAACTGCTGGGATGAGAGGGAAGATCCACTCTGAATTAATTTCCTGCCTTGCATTGTTATTGCCATCACAGCAGTCAAGTTTATATTTCCATCCTCAAGAGAAGGTGTAAGCATATATGTATATGCATACTCATATGCCCAAAGGGAAATGATCGCATGTATATATATGTTCATTGAATAAGCCAAGCATGTGCGTTGTTTCTCTTCCACATTCCTGGTGTGATGCCAGCTACTGGATGTTCATTATATTGCAGTGATAGTCATGATCTGGCTGTCTCCTGCCCTCCTAATGCACTTTACACATCACTGGGTCATGAGCCACACAGACTGTGCACAGCACCAGAAGATATCAAAGGTGGATACTCTTCTTTGTACCAATGGGAAAAGTGAGATCCAAAGATGGGGTGTCATCTGAAAAAGGAATTCAGACCCACTGTCTTCCTCCCTCTCTCTGACACCTCCCATCATACTGACTAATGACAGGGGTTGTGTCATTTTACATTTTACATGTGGACCTTCAGCCTTCTACCTCTTCCCACTGATCACAGTGAGTCAAAGCAAGCGAGCTGCTAGAAGCCAGAGTCAAGGATTGAACATGATTGAATTTTCTGTCTTCACAGAACGCAGTGTCTTGTTTGGTCTGCTCTTGGCTTGATTCTGAAATGGAATCATGTGGTTGGTCTCCCCGCCCCTCACTTGTGTCAGGTGTGCTTCTTTCCTCTTCCCTAGGGTCCTTAGAGCCTGTACAGCTGCCTTCTCTTTACCAAAGCTGAA